ATCCAGTCTTCTTTTAAACACATTCAGGGATGGTGACTCCACCACCTCCCTGGGCAGACAACTCCAGTACTTTATCATTCTTTCCATAAAACACTTTTTTCTAATACCCAACCTATATCTCCCTTGATGCATCTTAAGGCTATGTCCTCTCATTCTGTCAGCTGCTGCCTGGTGAAAGAGACCAACCCCCCTGACTACACTCACCTTTCAGGGAGTTGCAGGGAGTGGTAAGGTCACCTGTGAGTCTCCTTTTCTACAGGCTAAACACCCCCAGCTCCCTCAGCCATTCCTCACAGGGCACCCTCATCCATGTCATCAACAATATTGAACAGAGCTGGCCCCAGCACAGAGTCCTGAGGACTGGCCCCAGCTGGATGCAGCACCGTTCACCACCACCCTGGGCCCGGCCATCCAGCCAGTACCTAACCCAGCACAGAGTGCTCTTGTCCCAGCCCTGGGCTGCAGCTTTTCGTTCCTAACGCAGCAGAGTGCTCCTGCCCAAGCCACGGGCTGACAGCTTTTCCAGGAGTGTGCTGTGGGAGACAGTACCAAAGGCCTTGCTGAAGTCCAGATACACAACATCCTCAGCCTTTCCTGCATCCACCAGGTGGGTCACTTTGGTCATAAAAGGAGACCAGGTTGGTCAAACATGACCAACCTAAACCCGTGCTGGCTGGGTCTGATACCCTGGCCATCCTGCAAATTCTGTGTGATGACACTCAGTATAAGCTGTTCCATAACCTTATCCAGTACTGAGGTCAGGCAAATTGGCCTATAATTACCAGGATCCTCCTTCCCAACCTTTTTATGAATGGGTGTCACACTGGCCAGCTTCCAGTCCTCTGGAACCTCACCAGTGAGGAAACCAAGTCTGATAAATGATGGAGAGCAGCTTCTCAAACTCATCAGCCAGCTCCCTCATCACCCTGAGATGGATCCCCTCTGGTCCCATGGATTTCTAAACATCCAAGAGGCTCAACAGTTCTCTGACTGCCTCTTCCTGGATAGCAGGGAGACCATTCTGCTCCCTGACACTATCTATCCACCAGTAAGACAGTTGTCTGGACAAGCCATCTTCCCACTAAAACTGAGGCAAAGAAGGCATTAAGCACTTCTGCCTCTTCCTGGATAACAGGGAGACCATTCTGTTCCCTGACACCATCTACCCACCCAGGAGGACAGTTGTCTGGATAAGCCATCTTCCCACTAAAAACTGAGGCAAAGAAGGCATTAAGCATTTCTCATCTGCAGTTACTAAGTTCCCTCCCATTCAGTAGAGAACTGAGGCTGGTCTTACCCTTCCTTTTGCCATTAATATATTTGTAAAAAAATTTTATATTATCCTTTACAAAAGTTGCCAAATGAAGTTCCAACCAAGTTTTGGCCTCTCTAATTTTTTCCTACATGCCCTAGAAAACCTCTTAAGTATTTCCTGAGACATCTGATCCTCCTTCCAAAGATGATACATCCTCTTTTTATTCCTTCAAAACCTCGTTGTCCATCCAGGCTGGATGTTTGCCTTGTCAGCTCATCTTTTGGCACACAGGGACGTGCCCTAGAAACCCTCTTAAGTATTTCCTGAGACATCTGATCCTCCTTCCAAAGATGATACATCCTCTTTTTATTCCTAAGTTCCTTCAAAACCTCATTGTCCATCCAGGCTGGATGTTTGCCTTGTCAGCTCATCTTTTGGCACACAGGGACAGTCTGTTCCTGTGCCATCAAGGTCTCTGGTTTAAAGTACACCCACCTTTGTGAACACCTTTGTTTTTTAGGGCTGCTTCCCAAGGAACTCTCTGAATAAGTCATCTAAATAGGCCAAAGTCTGCCCTCTGGAAGTCCAATGTAAAAGTCTTATTGATGTTCCTCCTGATTTCACCAAGTATCAAAAACTCTAACCACCACAGCTCCCACCAGCCCATCTCTATTTGCAAACCAAAGGTTTAACACAGTCCCTCCCTTGGTGGGCTCACTCACCAACTGTGACAAAAATTTGCCATCCACACACTCTAGGAACTTTCTGGACTGCCTCTTTTCTGCTGTATTAAGTTTCCAGCAGATGTCCTGCAGGATAAAGTCACCTATAAGAAGAACAAGGTGATCTTGGTGATGCTGAAGAAAGGGAGGTTTTAAAGAGAGCAGTGTCACTGCTGATGGAGAGATCCCAGGAAAACACTGCAGTATTCCAGCTGTACACACAGCAACTGTGGTTTTTCATGGTAAATAACAGGAAGGGGTACTGCAGGCATGTAAATAAACTTGGATATTCACTTGGGGGTAAATACTTGGAATAACAATGCAGTAGTTGCAGGCTCAGCAGAAAAATATGAGTCTTACTACAATACTTGGGCAACATTGCCTCAAGTCCTTATTACAACCTGAAAAGAAATAGAGATTGCTACTGGGAAAACATCAGTCACCTTTCACCCCACCTTTGAAAAGAAATGCTGTTATGCTTTCTTTACTTTATGTCAAAAACTTCTGTCCCCTGAACTGAGAAAGTGACCTCTTCTCGAACATACTGCACTCACTTTAAACCTGAGGGTTATAGTCTTCTGTCAGTCACTTCTTCCATCACTAGAGCAATGAATTTCTACAATAACCTTGTACTTGAGTCAATCCTTTCTCTGGGTTTCACAAGATTGCATTTCATCCCAGCAGTTTCTTGACTCATCATGGTGTATCTAGTATCCAGAAGAGATTCTGTACTTTATATTTCCTTGGCTGAGAGGCACAAAGAACCTGAAGTTCTGCAGAGCCCCAGCTCTCACACAAGGCTTGTTACAAACCAACCAGCTGAACAAAACACCCTTTGCCATTACCAGTATAGCAGTAAACCATGAATATTCATTAATTACTGCCCTGGTTTTATAAATTAACTCCATCACAGCTTTTCCATATAGTCTTGCATATGTGCTCTTCACTTCTGTCCCTTCTAGCTATATTCTGCAAATAGCTATCCCAAAAGCTCTGGTGGTTTGAGCAAACTGGCTGTCAGTGTTAACCTGATGAAAGAGTGCATTGATTCAGGAGAAGGGGCTTTTGCTCCAGCACATGGTGCTGTCTGCTGACACTTGAAGCATGGGGCTACAGGGGAAAACCATTCAAAAACAGTGACAGGAAAGACAAGTTCTGGTTCACATTTGCATGGGAGTTGAGCTGGGACCCCAGCCTCGTACTGAAGTGCTTCCAGGACAGGGATCAGGAAGGTGCTGCTCTCTCTGTGGGAAGATGTCGCTCCTGCAGAGAGCAAGAGGCCCTTTGTGTGGAGCTGTTGTTTGACACTGCCACTTGAACTGTGGTACTAAAATCATAGAATGGTCTGGGTTGGAAGATGATCTCACTCCAACCCCTCCCCACCATGAGCAGGGACACCTTCCCAAAGACCAGTTGCTCAGACAGCCCCATCCAACCTGGCCTTGAACACTTCTAAGGATGGGGCATCCAGAACTTCTCTGGGCAAGCAGTTCCAGAGTCTCACCACCCTCACAGTAAAGAATTTCTTCCTAATATCTAAATGAAACCTCTTTCAGTTTGAAGCCCTTATTCCTTGTCTTATCACTTTATGTTCTTGTAACAAGTCCTTACAAAAAGGATGAGCAGAGATGCCTGAGCTTTAGCTCCGAGGTGCTGGGGGATGAAGGGCAGCAAGGGAAAAGCTTTGAGTGCAGATTCAAGTGATTTTTTTTCAGAAGAGGAAAGATGTGTGGGGAAAACAGGAGCGATTTCCTGAAGCAGCATTCAGGCTGGGGCTGGGACGCTGCTGAGGGACCAGCCCGCTCTGGTGATTCTTCTGCATTTTACAGTGAGTGGAGAAGCCAGCCATGGGGTCTGGTCCCACCCCCAAGATCTGCTGTGCCTGTCTGTGTTCCACATCTCATCTCAGGGAGTTGCCACTGCACAGTTCCCCCACCATGCACTCGTGGCTATGTATATATATACACACACATATTCAATGTACATATTTATATACAGCTGCAATATATAGAATGTGCACTCTGTGTGTGTGTATTCATCTGCAACTGATCTGGAACCAATCCTTCTATCACAGAGCCAAGGTCCCAGCACCTGCCAGATTTCTCACAAGTGGTTTACAGAGGGAGCCTGGCTCTCCCTTGCTCTCTGCTGGCACAGGTTCAGCAGGAGGTGAGATGCTCATTATGGTCTGAGTGCTGTGGGTCTCTGCTGTGAGGGAAGAGAGAGGTTTGTGTCTTAGGATGGGTGAGGAATTCATTAGGAATTCATCTGGGGTGTTTCTGGCATCTGCAGGGGAACAAACTGATAGAAGATTAATTCACCAAGGGAAGGTTCAAGTCCAAATTAGGAAAAGGCAGGAGGAAGTTTAGGCACCATTAGAGTAATGGAACTGCTGAGCAAGAGCTCTTAGTTTGTGAGTTTGGCTTTTGGTCCCTGAGTACTTACAACAAACTAAAACTGCCCATATGTAGAAAAATATCCAAATTATTTTATAAAGCTAATCAGGTAAAATGCATTGTGATTGTCTGTGGGTTTGGGCGATGAGGGGAAGGGAGACAGAGAAAACCCTGAACTAAGTCACCTTTGGTTGATTCTGTTTAGTTTTTCCATCAGGACAATCTCTCCATTTCCATGCACTGTTACAAGGATCTGACAAACCGGGTTTATATCGAGAGCAATGTGAAATGACACGCTACAGCCATTTTTAATTTTTTTTTTTAAACTCCCCTATCAGAAAAGCCTGCATAAACCGCTGAAAGGTCTTTACCAGTCTCGCAGGATCGATTTTGTGTAAATCCAATAAAAAAGTGCTTCTGGGAAGTGGCCGGGCAGACGGGTGGGTGCCTGGTCCTGCCCGTGGGAATGTCCCACGGGCTGCTCCGAGAGCGGAGCCCCGCGGCATCCCCGGGCTGCCGGTGCCCCCCCTTCCCTTCCCTTCCCTTCCCTTCCCTTCCCTTCCCTTCCCTTCCCTCCGCTCCCCCGTCCCGCCCCCATCTCCATCCTCTCCGTCTCCTCCCGCACAGGTGGCATTCCTCTCCTCTCCTTTCCTCTCCCCTGCTCTCCTGTGCTCTGCTCGCCGTCCCTGCCGCGATGCCGCCGCCGTGTCCCCGCGGGGCCCTGCCCGGAGCCTCCCTCCTCCTCCTCCTCTTCCTCCTGCTCCCGCTGCTCTGCGCGGCCCCCGGTGAGTGAGCGCGGCGTGCGGGACTCGGGAAAGCGCAGCCTGGGGAGCGGGAGAAACCTTCCCCTGGCATCCCGCGTGGGGAGAGCCTCCGGGGGCCCCAAGCCTTGCGCCAGTCCGGCATCTTTTTAAAAAGGCGCTTCTTTGCCGGTGACTGAAATGTTTGGGAACAGCCGAGCGCTTGCGGGTCTCCCGTTGCGCTGGCAGTCTGGGGATCAGCAGGATGACTGCTTCGGTGTGCCTTGGGGCAGGATGCCAGGCAGAGTTTTGGAGCGCTCTGGTTGTCAGCACAGCCCTCACCCAGCGACCAGGGGCTTTCAGCGTTATCATGCTGCTCTGGGTGCTGGTACTGGCACCAGCTGCAGTTTTCTGATGAAAAATGGAATCATTTACTTGGTGAAGAAGGCCATTATAGGGTTTCCCTTGCCAAGAGAGCTGGGGAGAAGATGCTGGAGGGTCAGAAGCTTCCCTGCAGTGTATATTGCATTCAAGTGTGGAAAGGGGAGCAAAAAGAGCAAGTTTCTGTTTTGTCTCTTGAACTGGAGCTATGACAAAAATACTTCTGGCAGTTTTTGAGAAATAATCTTTGGTGGTTGTTGTTATTTCATTCTCAGTAGATATATGCATTTTATTTTTATTGTCTAGATGCTTCAAGGGGAAATAAGCTTAAACTGATGCTTCAGAAACGAGAAGGTAAGTGAAGAGACAGTAAAGTGCTTTCCTCTGTTTTTCCTCGGAGTCAGTTGCTTACAGTGGAAGCTGTGGGTGTCCCTGTACCTCCAGCTCCAGGAGAGCAGATGGAGCAGGAGGCTGCAAGCACAGGGCAACACTCACCACGGGCCACACCAAAACCTCCTGAGCCTCTGCCTGCATGCCTGTTTGGGATGTTGGGCTGGAGGCTCTGCTTAGCACAGCTCCCTCTGAAATCTGGGGTTCCCAGCCTCAGGCATGCTGCCTTTTCTCTGCCCTTTTCTCTGCACAACCTTTTCCAATGTGTGCATGGCAGACGTGGCATTTATCTATTTGGGGCAGTCACAAACTTTTCCAAGGAATGCATGGAAATACTGCTGGCTCAGGCACAGGGAAGAATATGTGCAAACCTGGCTTGCCTCTGATGCCTTGACTTGCTCTTTTTGTCTTCTTGGCCCCACGTGTGCTTCCTTTTTGGAAGACTGCTCTCTTACAGGATAGATGATGGCCAGAGGCCCAGCAGCCAGAAGCATGGGATGGCTCACTGGTTGAGGAAAGGTGGTGGAAATGATGCCAATGGGGAACAAGCTGCACCACAGCAGACGAAACATCCCAGAAGTTTTGGCCACCTCCCTTCAGCCTGCTCTATGGCTGAAGCAAAGAATTTATACCCCCACAGAGGGGACTTCAACTTCCTGCCAGGCTTTCTAATTTTGTTCTGGGGCTTTTTTCTGGCACCACTCCACACCTCTTGCCAGAAATAAAATAAATATCCCACCCACCTCTGTTTTCCTTGTGTGTGGGGTCCTTGTGGTACCATTCTGCAGGGCTTTTGGGAAGATAGGAGTGACCCTCCTGCACCACAGCAGTGGCCATTTTTTTGTTCAGGTCACCTGGAGAGAGGGACTGCCCAGGGAGGGCTCTTGGGGCATGCAGACCACATGGCTTAGATCAGGAAGAACTGCAAAATTGATCATGCAGGGAATATGCAGCCTCTTTAATTCCAGCCTTGCTCCCATTTTCTGGTTGGTTTCTAAAGTGAGCAGGCCAAGCACACAGTACTGCCTCCCTTGCTGGCAGTGTCCCTTGTGTGAGGGCTCATTCATGGGACATTTGCTTAGCTGTCCCTCCCAGCAATAACTTAGCTGTCCCTCCCAGTTCAAGCTCATGGTGAGTTATCAGTTTCCATTGCAGGACAGCCTCCTGTTTCCCACTTACTGCAACAACTCATCTGTCACTTTCATCTTCTCCTCCTCTCTGCAGTCCTTTGCCTTCCTCTCTGAGTCTGCCCAGCTCCTGCTTCAGTGGTTTTCTTCACATCTCCACTTGACTTCCTTGTCTACCCCACTCTCTTCCCTCACATCCTTCAAAAATCCCATGCACACCCATGTTCCTGATTTCTTCCTCATTGAAATGAACCATCTGAAGGCAAGACTTCTACTCCTACACACTTCTTGTTTCACAGCCAGATTAATAATACCATGTTTTATCATTTTTGTCTGTGGCCAGGGGCTGGTCAGTCACAGAATCATAGAACTGTTAGATTAGAAAAGATCTCTAAGTTTAAGTCCAACCATTTATCCAGCAGAGCCACACTCACAGCTAAACTATGTCCCCAAAAAACCATGTGTCTTTCAAACACTTCCAGGGATGGAAATTCCCACCACCTCCCTAGGCCATTTGTTCCAAAGCTTGACCACTCTTTAAGTGAAGGACCTTTTCCTAACATCCAATCTAAACCTTCTGTGGCACAACTTGAGGCCATTTCCTCTCATCCATAACTTTGGGAGGTGTATAAATTCCTCTAGCAACCACAGCACACTGTTCTCAGGCATGGAGCAAGCCAGGAGGCACATCTGGGTCTGGCAGGTTGGGGGCATTTCCCTCATATAGGCTGCTGTGAAAACCTGATGGGATTTCATTTCTAGGCATACAGGGCATTGAGTAGTACTCATCTAAATGCTACTTTTTTACACATCAGTGATTCAAGAAAAATCTATCTTTTTAAGTGTTTCTCCCTTCACTCTAATATGTTAACAGTGTTTCTCCAGCTTCCTTAGCCATTTTAACTGCACTTCTCTTCTTCAACCCAATTTCTGCAACTGTACCACTTAGGGCCACTCTCCTGCTGTCTCCTGAAAGCACAAACACACAGTGTATATGCTCATTGAATTTGGGTGCTTTTATTTAAATTCCTCAGTTAGCTGCTGTACTTGAGCTCAGAAATGCTTTTCAAGAATCCAGGAGAATGAGGGTAGCAGAGAAATCCTATTGCATGGGTGATTCCTGGGTTTATTACTGTTACTCTGCTACAGGCATTGCACTGGCAAGCACAAAGGCAATGGCATGATGTGAGAATCATTTTCTTACTTGCTGCAAGCATACGCTTCAGGCTGACCAAAAATTTCCTGGCATGCCTTTTGTGGGGGGGATTAATTTCAGCCCCTGCTGCGGCGAAGGCCGAGGTGTCAGTGAAGGAGACGGCAGCCAAGGCGTTCCTGAGCAGCCTGAGGCGCCAGAGGCGCCAGCTGTGGGACAGAAGCCAGCCCGACGTGCAGCAGTGGTACCAGCAGTTCCTGTACCTGGGCTTCGATGAGCAGGTCAGTGTCAGAAATGGAGAGGCCTCATAAAAAAAGAGAGGGGAATAGGCAGGAGTAGAGCAAGGAAGATTGGGCTTAAGTGAAAAAAAAAAAGGGCTATTTAGATTAGATATTAGGAATAAATTCTTTACTATGAGGGTGGTGAGGCACTGCAACAAATTACTCAGAGAAATGGTTGATGCCCCATTCCTCCAAGTGTTGAAGGCCAGGTTTGATGGGGCGTTGAGCAACCTGGTCTAGCAGAAGGTGTCCCCACCCAGATTTCTTCTTTAAAGTATCAAATGTCACACAGAAATATAACCTCTGTTACATGTTAGAGATTCTTGCATTATTGTATTAGTAGAAAAAAATTACTCTAAGGTTTTGTATGGAGTTCCTGCCTGCTATCAAACTTAAGCTTAATAAATTGCAATTGGACATATGAACAAAGGTTGCTTTGTGGAATAGGTGGCCAGACTCAAAGCAATCAATCGTATTTCAGGAAAGTAATTTCCTGTCCGCCTCAACCTGATCAGCTTTTAAACATTCTGAGAAATCCACACCAAGCTGGCTGTGACTGGCACTCCCCAGTGAAATGGCACTGACATGCACCCAATGCACACTTGTGCCTGCACAGCGTGGGCAGCTCCTGACCATCATGAACACTGGCAGCTGTGCCTCCACTCTATATGTGAAAGGAAAACCATTGGATAATATTCAGTCAGCCTCCCTGCAAATGAGAAGGACACATTTTTTAAAAGCACTCTATTTGTAAAAACACTGGAGTGGAATCAAACTCTACACAAAGCTCTACTAAATAGATACTGGAATAGGGCAAAAAAGTGTGTTTGGTTGCAGTCCCACATGTAGAATAATTTCTGCTTTTAATAAGAGGTAAAAATAGTTATAGATGTTGAATTCTTGGCTTCTGTCAGCTGCATGAATATGTTTAATGAGATTGCATTGGCACAGGGAAGCTGGAGTACATTTTAAAGCTTCATGCTATGTGGATTGCTTGGAAGATGAATGCACTCATTTTCAAAGCTGCAACAATTAGAAAAATAATCCTTTGCTTGAGCTGAAATAATGAAGGATACTTTTTTTCTAAATTCTCCTGGATATTATGTGGATGAAAGTCACTTCTGAACAGCATGGCTACATCCCCCTTCACTAATAGAAATAGGAAAAATAGGAAAATTGGTTTTATATACACTGGAAGGTGAAGACTGGGGGATAATACCAAAAGGAACAAAGACAAACCATGCAGAAAAAGTGAATTCTCCTCTGAGTTCCTGTCTGCATTTCAAAAACCAAAATGAGGCCTGTTGTGGGATACAATGAATCCACTTAGTAGGTTTTCTTGAGTATTAAGACACAGTCTTAACAATGAAATAACTGTTTGCTCCAGCAAAGGACTTGGTCCATACTTATCCATTGTGTATTTACAAAACCTTTTTTTCCCCCCCAAATCTCAGCCAAAAATATTTCCAAAGCGTCATTCAGATGGAAAGGCTTTGACTTGGCAAGTATTTGATATCCTTGCACACCATTTTTCCTCTGCTGTTGTGAGCAGAACTGAAATGCTTATTGCATTTCCATAGCAGGAAGGCTGCATTGTACCTTTGTTTTTACCTGTGCAAGGTGAGAGATCGGACAGAAAACAAAAGCCTGTTGCACCCCAGTCAGGGACATTGCAACTAAAGGCACGTGGCAAGGGAGAACTAAACCTTTAGATTTTTAACTGTAAAATACCGAGAAAATTCTACAGTCCACCACTGACAAGGTAATTGAAATATTAAAGGTGCTTAGTGCACATTTCAGATTAAGGTACTCTCAGTTTAAGCACTTTGCAGTGGGCAGGGGATGTGGGGCTGGGTCCAGGGTGGGGCTGGGCAGGACAATTCCTGCACACAGGATCCTGATAATCTCATATGTACAAGTAACAAACCCCCTTAGATCTAAAGATTTCATTTATGACAAATTAAAGGATCCAAATTTCTGACAGAGGCTCTTGCACCACTTCAGTTTGATCTCATCACTGTAGTTTCAGGCTGGAAGGGAAATGCTGTCTTTTTTTCTGGCAGAAATTTGAAGATGACATCTCCTACTGGACCAACCTGGGGCGCGCTCGTAATGAATACTACGGTGGGTACTACCAGCACCACTACGATGAAGATTCTCCCATTGGCCCACGGAACCCACACACCTTCAGGCACGGGGCAGGCGTCAACTACGACGATTACTGATGCCATTCGCCCTGCTGCACTGGGCGAGGCCGAGCCCTCCCCCAGTCAGGATGACCCTGCTTTTTCTTCTACTCATGTCAAACAGAAGGAGGAAAGGATCTGCCAGACTTTGATGAGAGCAACATGACTTTTTTTTAAAGGTTTTTTTATAGGTTACAGATAACAGTCTTTCTTTCTATCATTACTTAGTAGTACACTATATATAAAAAGTGTTATAGAAATAAAGCTTTTTTGATAATTAGGTTGCCATTATTTAGTAGACTTCATAATAGCAAGTTTAATTCCAACTGTATTACTACAGATTCCTTTTTAGAGGTTTTTTCTCTTGCTGTCCTACAATCAATTGCAAAATTACATTATATCATCTACTTTGGCATATAGAATACATAATATTAGCCAGTACATTTAAGATGTGCCTTCCCATTCACATTTCTATTAACAAATAAATCCAATTATTCTTGGGAGAAAAGAAACAAAAGGTTTCCTATCAATTGAAGTGCTGCTTTGTTGCCTCCTCTGCCGTTTCCACACCCACAGCGTGCAGCCCTCCAAGCCTGACATGGCACTTCTGCAGCTCCTGTTGGGTCAAGGACACAGACATTCACAAAAGCTAAATTCAGGGCAGATGTGCTTGCCTACCTACAAAGCCTGTGAAAGGATCCTCCAGGGAACAGGCTCAAGGCAGGAACTTGACTTCAGCAGTAATTGCTGAGGCACAGAGCTTCCAACCTGAGCCCAACCCCTCCCAGGCACAATAACCCAAAGGTTATGTTTGCTGAATACTCCCCTTTGTGTCCATTCCACTTAGCGTCAAGCTTTCAGCCTAGCTCAAAATAGGGAATAAAACAACAAAGTAAGCTATTTAAAATTAAGTTAGTGTCACACAGCATCCAACACAATTCCCTGACATCATAATTTCCTACTGCAAAATTCCCTCTACCCCAGTTCAGACTGAAACATGCACATTAAGCTGAGCATCAAAATATATCAGAAACCAGGCATCTGTTAGTGAAACACAGTGGATTAAAGAGGGAAGAGGGATTGTTGCTGGCATCATGTATGTTAAGAATCCTGAAACACAACTAATTTTTGTATCACAGCAACATCAGCATGGGAGTGAGATTTCAGCTGTCAGGGGCTTCAGGAGGAGCTGGGCAGAGGAAAGCACTGCTGGCACTTGACAAATGCAGAGGCCTGGGAAGGGGCAGGTGAGGAAGGCTGGCTTCTCTGACTTCTGGAACCAAAGAATCAGGATAAAGAAAGATTAAATGTGTTCTACCAACTGTAGCAGTCAGAGAAGACAGCATGGATGCTTTAGCTGTCTCTCATCTAAAGCTTACAAGAAATTTCCAAAGCATGTATGATGGCATTCTTTATGCTTCACTGCTTTCTTAATTCTGAATGAATTTCCTAATATTTTGCTTAAAGCCCTTGTTGTTTGCTGGACTGGTGTGTAGGAGGCGCAGCCCAGCACTACGCAGCTCCCTGCAGGAACACTTCCCAGGAGACAGCTCTTTGCTGAGGGAGCCAAACTCAATGAACGTGTTGGTCACTTCTCTGCACACACAGAGTCACGCTGGCCTAACATGCTCCAAACCCTCAGCCTTCCCTAGGCTTAATCTCAGCAGAAGCCTTAAACCAGTTTAACTGGTTTAAACTGGTGTGTTTCCAGAATTCTTGCCAGTTTAACTGGTTTAAACTGGTGTCTTTCCTTGGTAGAAGGGCCTTTATTCCAAATATGGAATAATCACATTCTGAGTCCAGCACAGACTCTTTTGCACAGTTGGAAAACACCTATTCCTAGAAGAATACTTTCATTTTGTATATTATCCAAGAAGTGCACTGAATTTGGCAACGTTTGAACCATGCTGGTAATTTCCATCATTTCCCAGAATTTACAATTGGGAATTCAGACCAGCTGAATAAGGAAGAATTAAAAAAAGTGCTGTAAATAAAGACCATCCCTCCCCAGGCTTTTGTAAACTCTGTCCATTCCTGCAGGCTGACTCAGTCTAGCAGCTTTCTGTGCCTTGCAGGCTCACAACCAAATCTATGGTTTCTGTCTTCTGAATTCTCTAAGAGGAGAAAAAAAAAATCCTTTTCATTATATTGTGTTGCAGGGTTAAGGAGTGGGACAGAGCTAACTTTCTACATAACAACACATACGATAATATGTTTTAGCTTTGTGACTAGACCTGCGTAGGCAGAACACAAATGTTTTTGCTTTGGGTGACCAGTGCCTGCACAGCCTGTTTTCCACACTGACCCCCAGCAGTCAGGCTAGGAGTGGGTGAGAGGCTGGGAGGGTACATGGGTGAGAGCTGACCCAAACTGGACAATTCCAAACGATGTAATGCTTGCTCAACACTAAACATTGGGAAGAAGAAGAAGAAGAAAGAAGAAGAAGAAGAAGAAGAGGAAGAAGAAGAAGAAGAAGAAGAAGAAGAAGAAGAAGAAGAAGAAGAAGAAGAAGAAAAAAAGGAGGAGGAGGAGGAGGAGGGTGGGTGGGTGCTTTGCCTTCCACAGAAGTAATTTCTCAGAGACTGGGTGAGCACCAGGTTTGCTTGGGAGAGATGGTAAGTGGCCTTTACATCACTTGGGTTTTCTTTACTTCACTCATTAAACTGCTCTTACCTCAGCCCTCAAGAGTACTCATCTGATTGTCCAATTCTCTCCCACTGCGGCTGGAGGAGGGAGTGGCTCTGAAGGCACTTTGCTGCTGGCTGGGGTCACTCACCACAAGGCAGTAGCTCTGAGGTGAGGGCACCCTCCTTCTTGCAGAGGGGTGCACCTGCCTTGCAGTGCAGCAGTTGCAATGACAGATAGCAAGCAAGGATGAGCAATCAGGCTTGGGCAAAAGGAGGAAGATTACTGGGGAAAAAATCATCAGATATGCATGGAGTGCTTCAAAGTTTAATTTCCTTTGGCTATTTCTGTCCCAAAACATAGACAGAACTGTGTGCCTCCTCTTAGCATTTCCATTCTGCTGTGCAGACAGCACAGAGCACTTCACATCAGCATCACCCTCAGCCATCCCAGCACTGACATAACATAACCTCTCCAGCAAGACAGAAGAGCAGCAATTGTTCATTGTGGCTCCTTTCAGAGCAGGAACAGCTTGGCCATGCTCCAGTGCTTCATGTTTCAAAGCCTGTTGATGCTGCAACATCCCTGAGTTTGTCCATGTTAGCCAGGCAGAACCATCACTCACAGGGCAGTGCTGCCTCCTTTGCTGGTAACACCTGCCAGCAAACCACTCTGCCAAAGAATGGAAGTATTATGGCTGTGCCCCTTTTTTTTTTTTTTTTTGAGGAGGAGGAGGACAGGTCAATCATTCCCTTTAAGTTCCTACATGTTGGGGATGGGGGATTGACACTTCTATCCCAGAGCTATTTCCCAGGTGGAAGATGTAGCCTTTCTTGCTTAAAACAGTTTTCACTATAATGGGGTGGACAGAGCCCAAACTGCTGTGCATGGCTTTGACAGCACTTTAAGGCCTCTGTTCCCTGTGATTTTGTGCTTTGGACCTTCCAGCTGTTTCAGCTATGGTAGGGACCAGAGTGTTCAGAGGATCCTGCTCCTTGCTGAAAAGCATGTCAGCATCTAGGGAAAACACTGCAAGAATAAACAAGCTGGTTCCTGTCCCAGGCTGTATATGGCAACAAACCAAGATGAATAGAGACTTGTCAGATCTGCTATTATGAAATAAGCAAGAGAAGGACTGAGACAAGGAACAGAGAACCAAAATCTGGTGTTTTTTCCAAGAAATATGAATTGTTATTTTAGCAAAGCGTCCCTGTTGATACAGAATTGCATTCAGGAGCCTCCTGCCACATAGAAAGAGCTCTGTTTTGCTTCAGAACTATTGCTGCTCTTCATGGTAGCTCTACAGAGTCAAGAGCTGCAAATAAGGTATTCCCTTCTGCCACCTGAAATCCCCACGCAGGGAAATGTTCACAACAGAGGAACTATGGATTTGTGGCAGCTACATTCCCAGCAACTTCAGGGAAGGGATGTATGGTTGTTAGGGCTAGCAGTGTTGAGTGTACAGTTCCCTTGCAGTTAACAAAACATCTTCTTCCTGTGGACCAGCCCCTAACAACCCTCAGAGACATCCTGGCCTCAAGTAGCACTGAACTCAATACTAGCAAGGTTGGGGACTGGCTCAATCCATCAAACTAATCGAAGCCTTGTTTTGCCCTCTCTAGCCTGCTCTCTAAGGCAATTATGCCTCTTTCAGCTTTGAAACTCAATTCAAACCCTGGCAAAAAGTGAAGATTTTTTTCCCAGTATATTACGTTTCTAAAAATTTATTGAAAAAATAGATTAAGACACATAAATACCCAGATGGCAGTGAACTCACTGGCTACTAAACCCACCAGTCTATATAGGTTAAGGGAAGCTGCAAACACCTTAGACACAGAAACTACCAGATCATTATTTCCCCATACAGCAAAAAGTTAGGCATGAGGCTTCTCTAGATTACATATTCATGGAACTACTTAAAATAAATTAGGTCTGCAAGCTCCTCTGCAGCTTGTCTGTAGACTAGCAATGTGGCTGACAATGCTCCTTAGTAGCCTACATGAAGAAATAAAGGAAAAATACATAATGCTTGAAATAAATAATAAAATCCAACTGTGGATCTCATGCTGTTGTAACCTCCAGCAGCAGGAGTGGTTCTACTTGTGAGGATCAAAGGATGCTCAGCAGCAGGTGCCTTGCAGACCTTTCCTTCTGGAAAGCTGGTCCCACTCAGCAGCACCAAGCTGGCTGGTTCCCTCTGCTGCATTGTGTGTTTCTTCCTGAGAGTGAAGACTTGCACCCAGCACCAGCTGAGCTGCCCATTTGTACAGTAAATTGTGAGTAAAAAAGCACCTCAAGTTTGGTCATGTTAGTTTTACCTTGTTTGCCTGAGCAGACAACAGCAGAAAATTCCAATTCTCAAAATTTCTAAAGGAAAAAAAAATCCTTAGAGCATGTCTTAGCTTCATTTACTCCTAAATCCTGTATTTCCAAGCTCTCAGTGCTGTATTCTACTACTCCATCAAAAGTGGCTCTTTCTTACCTGTGGTTCCCAACACACTTGATGCCTCTTTTTCATGCTGGTATGTCTAACCCCAGACAGGAGCAGAGCACCAACACGCAAACCTCCATCTGCCTGTTTGAAGACTCAGTTCAGACCAGACAACTTCAAAGTACCCCAGACTTTTGGTCTCAAGCATCAGCAGACTCTTAACATGATTCATGCCTTTTGAATTAGCCCCACATCACTGGTTTCAAACCTAAGGGCAACAGCTACCTCAGCTCCTGTTGCTGGAAGACACTATTAGAAAAGAAAATGGGAGCTGAATCAGGAACCTCTGAACTAAAACCAGGAACAGTAGGAGGAAAGTAGCAAATCTGCAGTCTTGTCGTTCAGGCCCAGTGGGAGGCATCACACACACTCACAGATGGGTTGTGCCAGCCACTTGGCCT